TTGGCTGTTGGTTACAGATAAACGGTTACTTTGACAATACAGCTACAGCAACCCGGCCTTTTTTGTGAACTTTTTTTGTGCATTCATTTGACCCTCCAACGTTCGTTTTACTTTTTTTTGCTTTTGTTCTTGCTTTAGGGTCTCATACACAACACCAAAAACAGGCTACAACCCAAATAGGCAACTTTTCAAATTATTTGCAATATTTGCGCATCAGTTGCTGGTATTTCTAAACACAAAATTTCACAAAACACCACCACACCAATTTGAATGCCACGCGCGTAGATGCATTGCGAAAAAGCAAACGATCCATCAAAAACACACAAAAGCCCAATGGGGACACCACCACTGCAGTTGGCTGGCGAAATGCACTTAGCACTTGAATGGAAACCTGTTAATAACTACTGATCCGGCAACTTTTTTTTCACTTTTTCCACACACTGACTCACTGCTTATTGGACCGATCCGATCGCTAAATGGATGTGAATGGGCGCGCGCTCGCACATTTCGACGTCCTAACATTCGAAGAGGGCCCGTATGACTGAAAGCGCCGTTGTTTGCCTGGCTGTACTGGCTGATCGTGGCGCATAAAAACATACATACACACATACATACGAGTACAAAGGCACAGCAAGTTAGGGTGGGGTATCGTGCAGCCATTTGGCGGCCCGTAGTCAACTAAAGCTATCAGAGGGAGATCAAATGGCGTTTCATGCTTTAGTGATCGCTCAGCTCTCTGCTGATCGTGCACAGGCTCCAAGCGAATTGTGCTTGCTCTCCATTTGTAAATGCACACATATGTATGTATGTACATAAGTACAAAACAAAGCTTTTACGACTATGCTTGAAACTTAAAACTTAAAACTTGATTATGGTAATTTTTATATGCGATTTGTCATTATACATACATAATATTTATGTACGCTGGGTAGGCATCCCATGTACTCGTATAACTACATATGATTTCATTTTCAAAGTCAAATGCTCATTCTGTGCGGCAAAGCAGTCAGTTATCACGTCAGCCGTTAAGCCAACCATATCGTATGCATATGTACATTAGGGCGGGCCAATTTTTTTTTTTGCTACGCGCGCTTAGCATAAGAGGATTCTACGTCTAGTTCTAAGCAAATATGCCAAATTGCAAAAAAAGGTTTAGAATAAAATGTGAAATTGTTCACTGTTGCGCCCTCTGGTGGAAGTTTTAAGAAAAAGATAAGTGCAGAAATGGATTCCTCATACCAAAAACCCTCTTACAGCATGTATTTATATAAAATTTAAGCACTTCTTTACGACACTAATCGGAATTTGGCAAACTCCAAATTGATGTTAGACCAGCGATGGGCATAGAGAGTCTCTACTCTGCACGCGCCTATACAAAATGTATATAGAAAGTTTAAAAGAGACTCATGGTTTCTTTACATAGTCTAAAAAAATCTTCCATACAAATTGACCCGCCCTAATGTATATACATACATGCATATGCCTAAGTTTTATCTGATCATGTCGCTGCCATTTCAGTTCAGATGTTGATCTTTACGCTCTCACTCTCGTTGTCTCGGGTTGGGTTGGTAATCTGCGTCATGATGCGATGCTTTGGCTAATGTCCGCCACCTGGGCTTAATAGCTATTATGCTCATATTGCAAATGATATGTTTTAATGCTTACAGATATTTTAACGATGCAAACGTGGTTGAAAAAGCTCAGCAGGTTAAAATAAGGAATTTTTTTTAATGATTTTTATAAATTATTTTTATGACCTTTCCTCTTTCACTTTCATTGCGAACGTCCGTAACGACGGGCAAACACTGGTTTGTACTACTAGTCAAACATACAGACATACAGACATATATATGTATGTGTATCCATTAGTGGGTAAGTATTCGTATTATATGTTGTTTATTTTTTTCTCCGCCTAAACTTGCATTTTTATGCACCTCGCCATTTATGAGTTTATTGCTTTCTCCTTTTTTGTATTATTCACACTGCATTTGTCATTATGTTGTAATCACATTGCCCCGAATTTCAAAGAAAAAAAAATCGCTGTTACCATCTATGTTCTGTGTGACTTATGGCCAATTAAGTAACGTAATACCAAATCGTGCCTAGCAGTTCAAATAAGATTTCGAATTAAAATAGTGCCTGCTACAAATATACAAAGTTACATACATATGTACATCTATGAACTTGGCTTACGAATGAGCTTAAAGCCCGGGTTTGTAAAATACATACTGTTATAAAAGCTTTGTAAGCTTTCATTTGTGGAAGGTATGTTAAGAAGCGCTCAATTAAAGCAATGTGAACAGAGTCTTAACAGCTGAAAGTTTGGTTTAATGTACACGCGCCACAAAATATCTTAAACTACCAAATTAATACTTCATAAAGAAAAAAATAAAATAAAATAAAAAACCCTTTGCGGAGGCGACCGCACTCTGAAATATTCCTCGTGAATAGTTGGCACAGTGTCCTTAGGTTAGGTTAGGTTATCTCGTCGTTCGACTGCAAACCCATTCTAGTGGCGTGGGTTACCATCAGGCAATTTCCGGTAAGAACTCCAATAACATGCCGCAGCAGTAGTCCCTCCAAGTGGAGGAGAGGGCGAGATCTACGCTTGTCTATCTTAGACCAGATATGTCTTGCTATCCTACAAGCAGGCTCCGCAGACCATCTTATATTAGCCCGTACGACAAAGTTATTGTCCAGCCAGAGCTTGCAAGAAGATAGCGGAATGCCCACATTACGGGCTGTACTGATTGCAGGCAACAATATTCCTTCCCTTGCCAGTTCATCTGCAGTACAGTTTTCCGGTATGTCTTTGTGGCCTGGCACCCATACAACATAAGTGACGTACCATCTCACCAGTTAATTAAGAGTACGTCAACATTCCATAACAATCTTCGACGTAGCCGCTTGGCTGTCAGAAAATATTGTTACCGCCTTCAGATTAATTAGAGAATCGATCAGCTAACTTGCAGCTTCATTTATTGCTGTTAGTTCTGCCTGAAAAACGCTACATAGATCTGGCAGGCGAAAACTAAGGCTAAGTGAGAGTTCTTGCGAGTAAAGATGATGTGTAGATGGCTGTTGAGTCAGAATACGAGTTCAGGACCGAATTCTCCTCCCATTATTCCCTTGAGGGGATCCTTGTCTGGAAGTGATTCTTTAGTCCCGTAGGCTGGACTGTGTAGTCCAGGCGCCTAAAGTCTTCTGGAAGACCTTACAAAATTCTAGAGTGTTCAAACCTCGTGTCACTCCATTTGACACATTGCAGCTTGCCAGTGGTTTACCATATAGGTCCACAGGTAGAAAGTGAAGCAAGGTCTCTAGGGCTTTAGTCGGCGTCGATGGTAACGCTCCCGTGATGAGCATGTATGCCACCCTTCGGACCATTGTTAATTTGTTTCTTATTGTAGATTTATCCACCAAACCGTTATGCCGTAGAACAGAATGGGACGCACAACCGCTGTGTACATTCAGTTCACAATGTGAGGCTTCAATCCCCATATGTGTCCTTAGTCTTACTCGCAATGGAAGTGCCCAAATATCTCTTTCGAGCCTGGGTCCTTGCAGCTGCTGCAAGCACATCCACAGATCAATATTACGGGTGGACAGCAGTGGGTTTTTAGATATTTTCCTTCCTCAATCCTCACCGAGCACCGAACTTTGAGTGGGTTCTAAAAATTTCAGATTTTTCTGGTATTCGTACCTGGTATCCTGTGCAGCTTCAACTCTCGTTAGCTTTTGCAGGAGGTATCGACATCGTCGACCTGAAACTAAGCGACGTAAGCGCAGCATATTCCGGTTTAGAAAAAGGGACTAAAGAGGTTGTTCTAGCGGTGAATGAGGACAAGATAAAGTACCTCCTGACAAAATATAAACAGTCCATGCGTTTTGGAACACACGTCACTCTTGGCCGCTATAACTTTGAAGTAGTGAAGGACACCACTAATAATATAAACCTGCAGATGAAGCGAAGAATAACTCATGCCAAAAGGTGCTTCTTTGGGCTCGGTAAGCAATTGAAAAGCAGGGCCATCTCTCAACGAATCAAAATCACGCTCTACAAGTCTGTCTTAATGCGCGTTCTTTTATATGGCGCAGACGGCGATGTCGAACAAAGATAGGACGGTTTTCGAGAGAACTATGCTACGCAAGATCTATGGCACCGTACACCTGGGCGACAAGTACCGAAAAAGACGGAATAACGAACTGTACGAGCGGACAATGAAATCAAGGGCGCCCACAAATAAAATTAAAGGACCAATTTGCAGAAGGACCTGCAACTCCCGCAAAGGAGAGAGGTACTTGGAGAAGTTTTTTGGTCTCGGCCCAAACCGATAAACGGTTGTAGTGGCAAGTAAGAAGAAGAACAGGCTTAAAAAGTTTTACGATGCTGACTGCCCTGTGCCAAAGTTCTGGTTCTGGGAACATGCCTGGGATCGGCCACGCTTCTATACTTCACACTCTGGGTAGTTATGACCAAGGATTTCACTACTCCGCCCCTTAACCAACCTTCGATAGGCTCTTTAAGACGAGCATCCCGTCAGGAAGAGAATGGCAAACACTAAGACCATGGAGAAGGGGAGGGAATTGAATTTTTACACGGATGGATCCAAGCTTGACAATAGGGTTGGCTACGGAGTTTTCTGTAAGGAACTAGGACTGGAACTATCCGTCCGAATTCCGGCCCACTGCAGTGTTTATCAGGCAGAAGTTTAGCTATAAAAGAGGTGGCTGTTTGCCTCAGTACGCATGCCGTAACGAAGACTACGATTAACATCTTCACGGACAGCCAAGCGGTAATGCGTTCATCCGAAATTCTGGAGTTATTGTATTTTGAGGAACTTTATCCTGAACTACAAATCGATCTACTTTCGTGCCATTAACTGTAAATCACCTTCAAAAATTGGTTCCACATTCAAACTTTAATATATGTAGTTGCAAAATAAAATTTATAGAATAAAATTCTCACAGTTATGAAATTACGATCGTAATCAACTCACCTTCAATGCAACTTATCGCTTTCTTTTGATGTAAGCGCTTATCTCTAACACGTTTTGACCAATCCGGACTACGATGCGCCTTGGAGCGTTCTCGTACGCTGTAAAGCGAAAAAAAATAAATAAAAATTAATTTAATAAATTGAATGGTAGTGTGTATATTTTACAAAGTGCATACACTCTTATCTTTCAGTACTATATATGTACATATGTGCGTTTGTTAATAAAGATGTTGTAAAATGTATTAGCAAATAAGTAGACCACGAATATCAACCATTTTCTATTGGAATGTGGCACAGTTTCGTTATCTCAAAACCAAGGCATTCATAATGAAATTTTCCAATTACAACCATCAATCAATTTTGTTTTTACATCAACAACAATAACAAAGTGAATGTTTGTTAACCCACGCCCGGCTCGTCGAATCTTTTGCATTGCACAATGTGACAACTCAAGAACGTCGTTTATTTGTTGAATAAATATGTATGTATGTATGTGAAAATGTGGATGATGTATGGGAATATGCAGAGGTGTGTTTGTAGATACCAGTAAACGATTTTCTATTTTTCCACACATTGGAAATAATGGCACTTTTTCTTATCGCCGGCGGCGTATGAATAGGCTTAACTTTCTAGGTCCCCACGGCGCAATGGGGAAGCAGAATGATGCGCCTAAAATATTCAATTTGGTAGGGTGAGGTTGAGTGGCGGCAAAGTAAACAAATAAACATGTACATATGTATGTCATCGATTTTGGTGGAACTCTATGCGAATATGGTAGATATAAATTCGACTGAGGGCAGACAAAGTTGAGCTGAGAAAGAATCCAAAATGTGGGGTTGGCAGGCATAGGCAGTGTGATCGATGAATACTTGCATTTACTTACATACATACATATGTACATACATACACAAACAACTTATATGAAAGTATGCACTCTGTTTTGTTTTGTTTTGTGCTACTACTAATGAATGGCAAAAATTCGCCTTCACAGGGCATTGCTTGAACAGAATTGCATAAGCTTCTTTGTTCGTTTTAATTGGTGTTATTACAGGTTGTTCTAAAAGTAGTCGTAACTGTTTGAATGAAACATTAACTTCCCAGAATGTATTTAATTTACTTACTTAATACTTTTGGCTGTCCCTTTCGACTCCAAACTTACCCTAGAGTCACAAGCCTGATGCGAGATTTTTTTTTTTTTCTAACGGAAAGTATTGCACATGCAAAAATAGAGTTTTCGTGCGAAGAAGCTAAGGCCATTTATTGTAGAGATCTTAAAGTATATTTTTACGGTGCCTGTAGCTTCAAGATGAGACAAAATTAAGTAATATTACTTTTGCACGTATGAAAAGTTGCAATGAAATGGATTAGTATACGCCTGAAATTGATTGCGTCCACTATTCTTTACCCGGTGCTACCATTAGTCGAATAGCACACTTAATTTCTAGACCAAAATCAAGTTAGGGAAGAAAACTCTCTAGCTGGCGCTGGCTGGATTCGAGTTTTTAATAAAAGTCGTAGGTATGAAACGATTTTGTTCATTTTTAAGAACTTATATTTGTTATGTAATAAGGACCACTTAAAAAACTAATCCGCTGGGGTTTTTATTTGAAAGATAATGTTTACGGTCCGATCATGATGGAGTTAAGTATGCATAAACAGAAGCACAAAATTGTGTAAACGCCCGTTATTGCAATGGTAAGACTCAAAGAAGCCAGCTCATGGATCAAGGGAATCTCTGGCCACACAGCGCATTCTAGGCACATCAAGAAGTCACGGGTGTATTAGGAATAAGTGTTTGCCATTTAGGAGGCAGCACGAAATCTTGAGAAAATTCCTACAGAGAACAAAGGAGTATTTTTCTTCTGTGGCCCTCAGAGCTTTACACTCACACATAGACCATGCAAATTCTCTTACTAAATGCCGTAAATCTCTGATCGAGATAACCCAGATTTATAGAATTTTATTAAATTATGTAGGTGCATGGATGCCTGGGTATTAAGAGAAATTGCAAACGGATGAGAATCGACCACATTCTTTTCGGAAAGAACACGATAATTTTATCAATGGCCCCATTTAAACGATGTTTAAGAGATCACACGGCGCATTTAGCCAATGGGGTACAACTACAACTACATCTGTGCTCTTGACTTTCCTTATAAGGACTTTTATTGGCTTACATGAAATACGGCTAGAGATTGGCGTATCGGACCAATGTTGTAGCTGCAAGTTCATAGAAGAAGATTGCACTTGCTTTGGCTAAACGTTTAATGAAATCCTCGCAGAGTTCTCACTGGAATAAATAAGACCAAGAGTTAAGCTCATATCATCGAAAGGGATTATTTAGTATTCCATATAGTATCGCAGGACATGTTTCGCTCTGCAGTTTACTTCAACCTAAATTAAGAATTTTTATTTTATTTCCTTTCTTTGGCTTTTCAACACAATTTTTGTATTGGCCATACATTTCCTAGTGACATCTAAATATCAAACTTGTTTTATTTTATTAAGATCGTATTAAGCCGTTTATGCCACTAAAAGTTGGTGAGTTTGTTTTTTTTTTTGAAATTAAGTACCTTTATTTTTAGCACGCACTATACTACTTACATATTACGTATACCCAAGTACAAAGAACATTACTATTTTCCCGCCTGCGAGTTAGCATAAAAGAAAGAAACCTTTCAACTGTTGTCAATGACTTGCTTTTTCTCATTGCCCTACGCTCATTCTGTGTTTTCTTTCGTTTTCTTCAAGTAAATTAATGGAGAGTAACAGTTTAATTGTTTGTGTGGCTAATTGCGTATTCTGCTTATGGACAGACAGCCTTGGCTAATTATTACAAAACTCTTGACTGTTGCGAATGAAAGAAAGGCCTTTGAAATGAAATTGTGAACATCTTTTAGCACTTGTCAGGCATGTAAGTGAGTTGCAGTTTTGAAACTGCATGGCAATATGAAGAGTTCATTGAACTTTGACGCGTAGTTTTTGTCAATGAATTCCTTGGATCATTCAATTTTTGGATATCGTAGATATATAGCCTTGTTCGCGTAAGCGACGACGGGATGTGAAGAAGATGGATAATGGCTTGGAATTACAACGATTGCGCTGGCTTGGACATGACGTACGCATGGTTGATGAACTTCCGGTGAAAAGATCCTTCGACTTGGCATCAATGGGGAAAAAATGAAAGCAATAGTGCGCTTAAACAATAGTTGAGCCAAGTGCAAAAGAACCTATATAGCTCTGGAGCGAACAAATGGAAAAACTTAGAGAGATATTCGGCAAAATTTTTTAATCGCGTTCCAATCCAACAGACGGTTGTAAAAAAAAGATCTAGGGATCCAACTAAACTAAATGCAACTTCTTTGACTTTTCTATATTCTATGTACAAATTAAATGTGTGTGTTTTAATGTCCGAATTGGGGCTTTTTCTGTAACAAATAAATATGTACTTGCAAACAAATATATTAAAAATCAAAACAATTTTGGAGCCGCTTAAAACTTGCACTTTGTTATACTAAAATTTAATGCATACTAAAAAAAAAATCTAAAAAATCAGATTAAAAAGCTTAAAATTTTAATGAAATAAGTTTGATTTATATGGTTTTGGTTAAAGTATGAATCATATTTTTATGAAAAAATAACAACAATAAAATTAACTTTAAAAGCCTTTCATATATTTAACAAAAATTACCATGTACTAATTTCTGCTCCCCACTGTAGATTTCAAAACAGTCTACCAATTGGCACATTCCCAATCATGCTTCAAGCGGAAATTGTTATAACTGAAATCTGTGCCCGGGAATGTCTTTTTAGAGGGACTAATGATGTTACAATAAACATCGTTTCGGACAGCCAAACAAACTAGGAACCCATAATATGGTTACGAGGTCATAATATATTCGATGGCAATGAAAATGCTGACACTCTCGGGAAATGCGAAGCACTACAAGGCCTATATGGTTGTCAACCTTAGCACGGTTTATTCAAAGGATACACGGTAGAGCCCCCACGTGAGGGGAAAGACTCTGAAGCTGCATCACAGTCGCGTATACTGAAGGGTAAAGGGCAATCCAAAAGATTTCCCTTTCGCCACTATAGTGGTTGAGGGCTGACGTGAGGGCACGAGCGGCGCTGGCTCAGTGAATGTCTAGACTCTAGAGAGACGGGTGGAATATGCAGAAAGGCGTGGCGGCAGTGGTCTGCGCGTAGCTCAGTCTCAATAAATCCTATAAGCTGCCGAACTACTGCAATATTGTCCAGGCGAAAGTATTGGCCATAAGGAGATCGGTGGAGCTACTAAGCAGCAACCTAGTGAACAAATAGGTGAATCTGTACATCGCTAGTTACACTGGCCGACTCAAGAAGTGTGGCGGAGAGCAGTGGAGCTCTGGATTTGCTACCTACTGGTACTGTGGTGCATTTGTACTGGGTTCCAGTACACACCGGCGTCGCAGGCAACGAGGAGGCCGACAGGCTTGCCAAAAAAGTCGCCCTGTCGGAAACTATGCTGTTAGAGGAAGTGCCGATTTCCCTCCAAGCGAATAAACCGGCGCTCGACCTGCCCATGAACCGGAAGGCGCAGAAGGCGTGAAACAAAATGCAAGGTTACAAGGTATCTAGTAATATGTGCGGATCGTATGACATAAAGCTCACGAAGTTTCTCCCATCCTTCAAGATAGAGGATGCTAGGCTACTGGTGGGTGTTCTAGCGAGCATGCTTTCTGCCTAACCTGGAAGCCGTCTAATAAAAGGTTGGATTTACTTTTTACGGGTTTGCAAAATATATTTAAAAATTGAAGAATTATTAGGAACGCTAAACCTAAAAGGAATTTTCTTCGTAATTTTAAAAAGATTTTTGATTCTTTTGAAAATTTCGAAATCACCATTTAGTGTGTTTTGTAATGACGACGACGATATGCCAGGTGCCTTATCAGCTTATAACCTTGTACTATTTAAACATATTGCATGTTGTTTGTGTATATGTATTCACATATGTAACTAAATAGATATCTTTATCTAAAAAGCTAATTTTCATTACAGAATGTTTACATTGGTGAAAACCATAGCATAATAGTTAGGGATCATTAATTATTATTAGCACTTAAGGAAGAAATTCTATATGTATGTATAGTTAAAATATCTGTGTATGCGTTTTAATAAAAAAATTATATACTATAGATTTACAGTGACACTAACAAATGACCACTTGTTGATTTTTTTTTAATATTTGTAATGTTTTTCGGGTAACATTTTTTGTTATTTTTTTATAAAAATGCCATTGGACAGCTTTTGCCCAAAAGCATATAAATCACAGTTTCACACGTTATGCAAAATTTAGGAAAATTCAACAAGTTTTCATCAAAATTTCAACGTTTTAATCTGAATCTGTGGAGCATTTTTGGATAATTTTAGTCTAATAAAGCGCAAATTTCCAACTAAAAAATCGCGTTTTTTTGAATTTTTTTTTTTGAGACTACTTTTTCGTTTTTTTTTTTTTATAACAAGTGCTATTTACAAAAACTGGCGTTGCCTTTTATTTTATCTTTTTAATTTTGTGGCGAACAGTCTCCCGCATTTTGTTTAATAAGAAATACATAGTTATATGAAAAAAGTGCAAAAATCCGTTGAAAAAAAAAATCTCAAAAATCAACGGGCTATTTTAGCCATTTCAAACTTGCACTTCATTAGACTAAAATTGTATGGGCTATAAAACAATACCCTAAAGTGATAAAAATGTTGAAATTTTGATGAAAATTTACAAAATTTTGTATAAAGTTTGAAACGGTGATTTTTTGGTTTTGGTTAAAGCTTGGAAGGCACTTTTATAGAAAAATAGCAAAAAATTTAGCTCGAAAAACATAGCGAATTTAAAAAAATGCCACACGTGGTCATTTGTTTTTGTCACTGTATATAATATTGGTTAGTAATGAAGATAAAGGTACATTTACAAACGGGTACATAATTTCGAATAAAATTATCATGTGCGCAATAAACATAAACAATAGCCGATAAGATAAGGCAGTGGCGTGCTTGCTTTTTTCGCAGCCAGTGCACTGAAAATCACCAAAGCCTAATTCGGTTTTTAAATAGCATCAATTTATTGTTTGTAGGCTCTTTTTGCATATTCTTTTATCAACCAAAACTGAGTCACTTCATATGAAACTAATATACATGGCAATAAAATCATAAATCCATAAAAAAACTAGTAATTTTTAGCAAAAAAAAACCGACTTCAACTCCCATATAAAATATATATATATATATATATCTCATGATCCACTGATCGGATCTCAACCAGATTAGTATGGGACCACCTCTGAGACACTACTGCAAAAAGAATTATCGAAATCGGTTGACGCGGTCCAAAGCTATGCGGTAACATACATAAAAAAAAAAATAAAAAAAAATAAAATATTCCGACGAACTGATAACCTCCTCCTTTTTTGGAAGTCGACTAAAAAGACAATAAAAAGCTTTTAACACTCACACAATGAATTGCGCCTTCACCAACTGATCCGCTCCCTCTGCCTCGGGATCTGATATATCCACCCATTCATCGCTATTATCACTCGTCGCGCCACCATGCGACTGAGAGTAACTCTTCGCACCAGCAGGCACATCACTATTTTCATCACTCACACTATTATGGGTACCGCCAATGCGCCCGCTTATGATCGCGTTAGTCTTTTCCGCTACCGATTGCCTAGAGCCTACGCTGCCAGTGCCGTAGATTAAGCTCGCCGTCACCGACATTTCGTACAAACTATTCGTTTTGTGATCCGATGAAATGGTGAGCGTCGAACCGCTACTGCTGCCGGTCAGATGGCTGCCACCACCGTTGCTGTGACTAGCGCGCCGATAATGCGAGATGCTCTCGTAACAATTGGATGTAAGCGAAATATTATCACTGCCGCATTTCGTCACAGCGCTGGCGGACTTTTGCAAAGCGATGCTGGCCGCATGCAATGATTCGTAGCAATGTGAACCTTTGATGGTGTCATAGATATTCTCATCATCAGCGTAGTAGTGATGGTCATCGTCCTGATCGTCCAAAGCAGTTATGGTGCTATTGCTGCTGCTTTTGCTGCAACCTCTGCTGGAGGCTGTCCTCACTATTTCTCGTATAGAGGAGGACGTTTTGGCTGCAGATTTGGGTGAACGCTTGCCTGGCATGGGCGATTTGGGCAGACGACGTTTCGGTTTAGGCAGCTCGGGCAGTTCATCGTTGGTGTTGCGCACATTACTGCCACCCATTGAGATCTGTTGGGTGAGCTTGGGAATTACACTACTGCCAGTGGCATCAGTACTTGTTGAGGTAGTGTTGGCCAGCATGTGTGGTGTGTCGGGTGGTGGCTCACAAATCTCATAGCCATCGTACAAAGGCTTGCCGGCATGGGTTGCGCTAACGCCGATCGCTGCAGGTGTAGCGTGCTCGCACGAACCAGCTATGGACTCATAATCAGCCAAGAGCGCGGCATTAGTGGCTTCAGCCACTTTTTGCTCAGCTGCTGCCTTGGCTTCATCCACTGTTTGATAGATGTCCTCGAATATGTCACTATTTGCAACTGACGACACTAAAGACGTTGCATCTTCCATCAACGCCTCATCAGTATCGGCCAACTTCTTTTCCGTGCCCGCCGCACAACTGGTATAGAGGAAGGACTTCGCAGATGGCAGCTCGGTTGCACTGAAATGCTCTTCAGCGTTTGTGGCCTCAGTCTGTGCAGCGATCGGTTCATACATCGGTTCCGCTGGCGTAGTTTGTTCTTCCCGCTTGTCCCCTTCAAGCGCAACTAAAACCGGCTGTTCCAACTGCAAGCTCAGTGGACGCACCAGCTCGCTATAGTCGCACTGCTCGCGCTGTAATTCCTTCTGCTCCAGCATCAGCTGTTCACCCTCAATACTGTTGACGAGTGTAACATTCACCGCTTGCGCAACAATTAGTTTATTGTTGGCCACCTGCTTAGTGCTCGCCTGAAAAACGAAGGAGTTGTTTGGTAGCACACGCTGCTCGAAGTCATCGTCTGGAGAAAGCAACAGTGCGGCAGTGTTTTCTTCATCTGTGTCTACGGTGAGGTCTTGCAGTTTATGATCGATGATCTCGAGCGCATCTAGTAACCGCGATTCGGGCTCGGTCTCAGCAGTTGTCTCGGCATCTAAAATGCATCCGCCCTCCGTTTTATGGTCAGTTGCTTTTGTAATCGTTGCTGTGGCCGTTGTTAATGCTGGTGTCATCGACGTTGGTGTGCTTGCCGAAGTGTTTGTTTGCGGTGTTGTCGGTATTTCAATTGTTTTCACCGCATCTTCAGCCAATTCAATCGCTGGTCGTTTGAATTCATTGTTCACTTCAGCTACATTCACCGCTTGCTTTGATGACAGTTTCTTGTTGCTGTGACCTCCAACAAACGGCGACCTAAAACGGAACTTTTCATAAATTTTCGCGTATTTGCGTTTGCGTTGCTTCGCCTTCTCTTCGTTAGCCGCATCAAGTTGATCGTCATTGGAATCGATGGCGGTTGGAAGGGGGTTGGCATTACCGTTCAATGCTGCCTCCTTGGTTGACTTTGTTTGTGGCGTTGCAATCGCTAATGTTGCAATCGCGTCAGTCGTTTTTGTTCTTCCACCGCTGTCTGATGTTTCCAATGTCGCCACAGTCGTGGGAATGCACTCCACAATTGTTTTTGTTGCTTCAGTTTTTATTGCTTTTGCCTGTGTCGGCGTTGGCGTTAGCGTCGTCGTCATGCAAATCGCATTGCTTTCTGTGTCATTAGTTTCTTCATTCGCTGCTGCTTGCTCATCAACATTTTTTATCTCAATATTCTCAGCAGTAGCGTTAGAAACTGTCAATAATGTCGCAGTACTACTGCTAACTGCTTCATTAGGTGACCCACTTGCAACGGTACTGGCTTGCTGCTGATCGTCGTCCACACTTCTTTGATCAACCTCATTAATCGCGTTTTTGTCGCCCTCCCTGCCGTTATAGTTTACGCTACCGTTATCGCATGACCCGTACGTGTTTTCCGCAAAGTTCGCGCTCGTCACATCAACCGTTGCCTCCATATCGGTATGCCCGCCTAGCAACTGACTGATCGTGATCGATTTTTCGTAAGCTTCCAATGGCGTTTTGGACTCTTCCGTCACTACCTCTAACGGCGGCGATAGCGGCAGCGCTAACTGCGCCTTCTTCAGCTCAAGCTTCAGTTGCAGCTCGTTCGGTGGCGCTGATGTGGGCAGCTTTAGTAGCAACCGTTTTGAGCCGGTATTACTGTGCTGCTGCGCTTTGTTTAATTCACGCAGCTTTTGCAGTACCTGCGCACTTTTCGCTGGCACTGCTGGCTTATCCAGCTCTGGGCCACCCTCAAATTTTATTATATTTCGTTGCACCGTTGACGCGCGCAAAGTGGCGATATCCTGCGCGCGCGCCATATTTCTACTCAGAGTGGAGCGCTTGCTGCCACCCTCCATTGCCGCTGCGATCGGATTCTCCACCACTTTGTAAACATGTCCACCGCGCGACAACAAAACACCATTCTTGCGCTTCACCTCCTCCAGCAGCTTTTTATCTTTCTGTATCATTTCGTTGAATTGTTGCGTCAATTTCGCCACTATATTGCCGCCCCCTGGCACAATAGCGGATGCACTGCTACCACCGCCACTGCCACCACTACCAACAGTGCCGCTATCGCGTTGGCTCATTTTGCGCGGCGCGTGATATGTGCGCGTATGTGTCTTGAAGCTATATTTGCGTGCG